AAACCATACATGTATGAACTGTATTTCAGAACGTGGTATAATGAGTCGAGGTAACTCACCACCACATTCTGAACTCTCAGATGATGAGGATGATGATGATGATGATGAATTTGAGGAAATGAAGGTAAAACTGATTTGTGTAATGACTTTGAAATCAAGCTTATTTCTCAGTGGCAGTGCTTCTTTTTCAACTACTCAAAATGTATGTTTTTCAAGAATACAGATAAGCATCTCTTGAACCAGAATTTTTATCACATCATTCCAAATTTCTCTTTAATACTCTTTCCAGCATCCTCAGGCAGCTAAGGCTCCAAGTCGAGGAGGACCACCACAACAAGCAGGTTCTCTACAACAGCAGCAGCAGCAACAGTTTCAATCTGAAGAAGAAGATGATGGTTCAGAATCATCAGAGGAAGATGATGATGATGACGTTCAAGTTGAAGGGTAATGTTTTTCCAGAATACATGTTTGTTTTGAAGAGATATAAAAGAATCACAATTTGCTGGATTTTTAGAGGAATTGAACTATCAACTCCAAAGTTTTGGAATACTGAGAATTTTGGATTAATGAAATTAATTGGTAAACAATGATAAAACTGCATCCAATTGAGGCTAGAGTTGTCTCCCATGAAATTTGAAATCTTCTTGATGACTGATCAAATTTTTGTTCAGTCTTCAATTTTACATTTGATTATATTTGATTTGATATTATCAACAGGGCATATGATCCAGCTGAATATGATAGTTTACAAGTTACACCAGAAATTAAAGAATTATTTCAATATATCACAAGGTTTGTTATTTAACTTTTAAGTATTCATGCTGTGAATAACATTCTTCTATGCAAATATAACTGATATTATGAAATCATCAGAAATAACTGCACATCATGATGATATAGATAATTGTCTGAATATTTAACCTTATGTCTTTTTCACCAGTGAATTGTTTAATTGTAGATGTACAATAAGTAAAATTATAAACTGTTTAGTGCTATGGATTGCTAAATTTAAGCTCCATAAACTAGAACAGCAATATTTAAATAACTATATTACAAATAATACATCATTTTTGGTAAGAATGGAAATACCACAAGACTCCTTTTATTGTTCTTTAAAAATCCTTTTTTTTTTATGGTATCATCTTGAATAAATATGTGCACATATTTTAAATTGATTTATTTAATTTATACTCCAGATATACACCACAATCGATAGAATTAGATACCAAGATGAAACCATTTATTCCTGATTTTATTCCTGCTGTGGGAGATATTGACGCTTTTCTTAAGGTAGGTTTTGACATTTGTTCTCTTTAGAAATTTATTCTATGTAGAGACAGGAGGTCATTAGTTGGGGAATATTTGGTTTAAGGAAACAAAGTCAGAGAAGACAATAGTTTACCAAATAAGCATTTCTGTCTATTTGTCTACCCTCAAAGTGGATAAACCAAAGTTCATTGTCAAAGTGGCATTCATATTAAAATCTGCATGAAATTATTGAATTATCACTATTGTAGAAGTTAGTGCATTTTGTATACTGTCATTCTGGAAATTTTGATTGAAACAGAGAATACTTCTTTTGTTTTAGATAAGTCGACCAGATGGTAAACCAGATACATTAGGTTTAAGTGTATTAGATGAACCGTGTGCTAAACAGTCTGATCCCACAGTTCTAGATCTACAACTTAGAGCTATATCAAAACAAACAACAGCCAAACAACTGGTAAGTTGTACTCTTATTACTACCATATGAACTTTTCAATTTCAGAGGGTGTTATTTCAATCTTTAGGCTCAACAGATATTTTTTATATTCTTTTTTAGAATACATAAGTACATTGCTATGTTCATGTACATACAGTGATCTATGTATTGCATGTTGCTGTATTATTATTCTGTGTTTGTAGTTTAGACTGACAAATCAGACTGGTTTCTATTAAATTTAATAGAATGGAGATTTTTGTATCTATAAAATGAATAGTGTAAGTCTATTTTTTTAAATATTTTGGAGTGGATTTTTTTATAGATTGTAAAGAGTTTAGGTAATGCTGACAAGAATCCGAAACATATTGAAAATTGGATTGACAGTATTAGAGATTTACATCGTTCTAAACCACCACCTAATGTACATTATTCAAAGTAAGTTAGCATAATAATGTGACTGTAGCTCAGTTTATAAAGGTGCTTAGTATTTAATTACATCACGTAGATAGTAACATCAGAAAAATATGAAAGTGACAAACAAAAGAGCACATTAATAATCATATGGATTCATTCAGCAAAATGATATCTGAACTACAAAAAGAAGGGTTACTCCAATCTACTGGTTGCCAGTTTTGAGGAAATCATGTTTTTTTTTCTATGATTTATATATTTTTGTTGTAGAAATATGCCTGATTTTGATTCATTGATGCAGGAATGGCCACCAGAATTTGAAGATTTACTAAAAGAGGTAAGGAAAATCTTGTCAGGTCCAGTGTAGAATGGTTTAAAAGTCATATCAAACAATTTGGTTTTAATATTATTATAATTTTAAGTTAAATATTTATGAATACTGTTTTTTTGTAATAATAATAAATACTACTATTAAAAAGCATGACTCTTGATCTGTCATTGTTTGCCAATAATGTCAGATTAGAGCTCCAATATTTTAACTTGAAAATTTTTATCAAAATCTGTGATACAAGACAAGATACAAATGTATGAGTTCTTCAAGTTGATTTGTTTGATAAAAATATTATATTTTAAATTTCAGACTGGTTTACCAACAGCAGATATTGATTGTGATTTAGGGCAATATGTTGAAATAATTTGTTGTAAGTATCAAAATCTTTTCATTCGCCTGCAACATTTGAATTTTGTCTTGAGCGTCTTGACTGTGAATTGCATTTTGACTCGAATGGCTCTTGTCTCTGTAGTCAGAGATGCTATCTTTGCGTGAGTAGTGCCTGAACAGAAAGCACTTCATCATTCTGCAGACCCCTGACCTTGTCCTTTGTGTCTGGCTTTGTAATTTTGGATTGCAGTATGCATTTTATTGACCTTTATGGCTTTTAGAATTTTATTTTCTGTCCTAATAAAAAGATCTAAAAATGTTTTTTACTTAGACTTCAATTGGAAATATACATTTATTTCTGTGTCTCATATGAGAAGTAATGGCCTCTCAGCTATGCAATAACAATGTAAAGCTGTTACTTCTCTTTAGATTAATCACTGGTTAAAACACAGCCCAAATATTATTTATAGATTGCAGTATTCAGTAATAAATTTTTGTTTAATTTGCAGCACTCCTAGACATTCCTATATATAAAAATTCAACACAGAAAAATGAAAAAGTCCAGGCCTTACATGTTTTATTTACTTTGTATTCAGAGTTTAAAAATTCACAAGTAAGTTCTGTTGTTCTTATGTTCAAGTGGTTATCAATATTATTTCATCCATTTTTCTCATGTATCTTGACAAGCTGGCACTGAACGCCAACCAAAAGTTTTATCAAAACTTTTGTTTCTGTTTGGCAATTATTTTTTTGGGTTTATAGCAAGGTTTGCAACATTATTGTATAACCAGACAAAATCTACCAGCATTATATAAGGTTTTATTTTTTTTTTTAAAGAATTGAGACTTTGTTTTAGCGGGAAAACATTGTTGCTATTTTAATCGATGCACTCTTTTTTTCAGCATTTCCGAGCCCTAGCCGATGAAAATAACATAGATAATGGTTTAAAAGATGATTATGGTGGTGATGAAGACAGATTAGTTTTATAGTTACCATAGAAGCAAGATTATTTATTATTATTGTTATTGCTTATTTTATAATTTTTATTGACTTCATTCAAAAATCTCATAAGCAGAACTATTACTTAAAACTGAACACTAAAAGCTATCCTTAATGGTAGTTCAGTTGCCACAAAACCTGACTTGATCATACTCTTTCCACAAATGATATCATGGTGCATACCAAATGCACAACAATCAATAGGTAGTCCATTCACAACAATTGCACATTCAGCTTGTTAGTGTAGACCTTATTCATGCGTCATCCATATTGAATCTTAAATGAGGCTCCTAACACAAACAAACAGTCACACTAACTCAAAACTTATCATTTTTTACATCATGTTTCTCGGTTGATCGGGTGTTCAGTGATGTCACATAGGCTATGGCCATCGCCTTCTTTTCGATGGATGACATAATTTGCGCGTTGAATCTCTCAGTGTCTCAAAAACGTGGCATGAATAGGTCTATATTGCAAAAAAATTGAAATTCCTGAATATGGTGAAATATTGCAAAACCCTGCATTATTGCAGTAAGTTGAGATTCCGTCCTTTTACCATTGTAACAATTTAAAGTGAATAAAATTATGTATAGATATATGTATAGAAATTGTGTTATTTTATCTCTTATATTGTCTGGTTTTTCCATTGACCTGTCAGATTGTCTATAATATCCTCAAGGATCTGTCAGATCGTCTCTTATATCCTCAATAGTTTGTCAGATTTGTGTCTTTGATTCACAGTTGTTTGTCATATTGTCTCTAATATTATCAATCGTCTGTCAGATTATGATATTATCAATGGTCTTTCAGATTGTCTCAATAAATTCCAGTGTTCTATCATATTAACTCTGTGGTTTGTCACATTGTGCCCAAAAATTTCAGTGGGCTGTCTGATTGTGCGTATGATCCTAAAATGTCTGTCTGATTTTCTGTAAGATTTTCATTGGTTTGTAAGATTGTTTTTCAACGGGCATTCAGATTTACTGTATATTTCTCTGTTAAGATTCTCAGTAGTGTGTCAGATTATTTCTCTGGTTGCCAGTGATCTGTTAGATTGTATCTATGAATCTTAATGGTCTGTCAGATAGTCTCTATGATTCTCAGTGGTCTGTCAGATTGTTTCTAATATCATTAAAGGTCTGTCAGTTAGTCTATGATTCTCAGTGTTCTGTCAGATTGTTACTAATATCATTAAACGTCTGTCAGTTTGTCTACGATTCTCAGTGATCTGTCAGATTGTTACTAATATCATTAAAGGTCTGTCAGTCTATGATTCTGAGTGGTCTGTCAAAATGCTACTAATATCATCAGTGATCTGTCAGATAGCCTTTGTGATTCTCTGTGTTCAGTCAGATTGTTTCTAATATCATTAAAGGTCTGTAAGTTAGTCTATGATTCTGAGTGGTCTGTCAAAATGCTACTAATATCATCAGTGGTCTGTCAGATAGCCTTTATGATTCTCTGTGTTCAGTCAGATTGTTTCTAATATCATTAAAGGTCTGTCAGTTAGTCTATGGTTCTCAGTGGTCTGTCAGATTGCTACTAATATCGTCAGTGATCTGTCAGATAGCCTTTATGATTTTCAGTGGTCTGTCAGATTGTAACTAATATCATTAAAGGTCTGTCAGTTAGTCTATGATTCTCAGTGATCTGTCAGATTGCTTCTAATATCATCAATGGTCTGTCAAAATTTATTGTTTCTAATGTCACCAATGGTCTGTCAGGTTGTCTCCGTGGTTCTCAAGGGTCTCATTCATTCATTTGCATTCATTGTTTGCTTTCAGTTTGTAGCAAAACCTTTGTTATATTTTCCAAAGTTATTGCATGTACATGTATGTGCATGTACTGATATATTTTTGCGACTTATGCTGAATCACCAGGGAAACCCATACAGCAAAAGGGAAGCTGAGCTGAGGATCTCCTAATTAACCAGCAGGCAAGCAGTGTTGATGATCTTTGGTGACTTTTACGTTTGCTGTTAAACGGTAGGGCCTACATTCACACGTATAATCAGGGTCGAATTGACCACATCTTATTCACATTTTATACTTGCGCATAATTTTATGGGAAATTAATATGTAAAGAAATTGGGCAATATAGGCAATATGTTACCAAGCTTTGGAATTTGTAACAAATGAATTAGTGACGGCAAAGTGAATACAGCTATACAAGCAACCAATCATGGTAAGGTTTTTTCTGCCTTCATTTGTGCATTTAAGATGGTGAGCGAATGGGTTGGGGTAAAAAGTTGAAAATACAGTTTAGTGGTGAGGATGGGTGGGGAAGTGCAATATCACAAAACATGAGTCAGTTGTATACTATGCTTCAGAAAAAGGTAGGACTTTTGTTCATACAAACGGTTTTGTTATTTTCGGCACTATGAATCCAATGACTGTTGAGTAAGGATTCGGCATCAAATGACCTTTGCGAACATTGATTTTGACCCATTACCGTCCACCGGATACTTCGAAGCAACAGGCGTTAAATTTGGTTGCATTTTAACTATGCGAAGATATCCCCAGTCGTTTAACTGTAGCCATACCAGTTTTTGTAGGAATCTGAGCTGATAAAGCGATTTCTTTTGCAATATCCATAAAAATAATTTATTACGTTTGAGTATTCATCTAAATTAACTTGTTCCAGCCTGTGACAGGGGACATGATAGCCTCCATTGCTGAGAGTTACATTGGATCTGAGGATTGGAGTATTGCATCTTCATCTGGCCCAGGACCTGGTACATATAAAGCCCATCTCTTCATTGAAGATGTCATTGACCAAGCTGGTGGAAGTGTACCCAAAAAGTAAGAACTATATCTATTCAGCAGGTTTAGAAACACAAGACATGATTCCGCGTTAGAGAATCGGTGAATCAAGCTATGATATCGAGCTTTAGATGTTTCAAAACATACGAAATTGGAAACTAAAAAAAAAGAACACTTTGAAAGGGCTGTTGGACGTTCCAATGATGTTCGCCACTATTTACTGCTATGATAAGCAATGCTGTTTAAAAAAAGCTGATTTCGCAGACAAATATAAATGGTCTACTTGTATACTGTTTGACGTATACAGAACTGAACTATTTTATCAAAATTTGCTATAGACCTATAGACAGATGGCAGTATTTAATAGTATGCACGGTATTTAAAACGATGAACTATTGACACTGTCAAACTCGTACCAGTCTGTCAAAATGTCACTTTATCTATCAATAACGATAATCTATATAAATTCATTAAAATTATACTCTGTGATAGATCTATTAGTGTAATCCCATTATTCAAATTAACATGAACCTTTCAGTTTGATTGGTTTTGGATGATTAATTCCTGTTTCTAAAATAGTTCACGATCCTGCATGCAACTTCTCACATAGATACTTTCCAGTTTTTTTAAACGAAATATAAAAGTTAAGTCTACAAATTTTTGTATTGAAATCCATGCAGATTTAAGAGGTAGCATGTTTTCAGAAAATCAGACCCTTCTTTAAATTTTGATATCCCAAAGTAAACTATCGGCAATGCAGAATTGTAACATTTTTGGCGTTAAGGGGGCAAACCTCGTATTTGATGTAGGACTTTCATCGGCTATTGTTTCTTAATAAATGCTTGTTTTATTATTCAGATGGTTGGGTATCGGTGGACCCATTTCCATTGAAGAATGGGCAAACCCAGAGTCACCCTTTCTGGTAGACGATGAAAACTGGAAGAGGGTAACCAAACCTAAGGAAGGAGATGTGGTTACTGATGGGAAACATATTGGTTTTATCACTGGGTACCGCACCACAACCCACCCTGGCAAGAAAAAGATAAAGCAAGACAATTGGGGTTTCAAACCCGGCCAGTCTATTGATAAATTTATTATATGGCGTTATGTCAATTAGATATTCCCCACTTCTACTGATTTTTTGGCACTGGAAACTTTTAATCAATTATTTTCGTGCACAATAAAATTTCAACTAGATATAGATATTAGAGATTTCCATTTTCAACATGGCGTCTGTAGAAAGGGTGTCAAGGGGAAAAGGGTATTATACAATTTTATCAATACGAAAGACACTGTCTGGTTCCAATGTGGGTCTTATGTACTGTAGATAAAACTCTTACAATTTCAAGGATGTGACGCATAGTCCTCTTGCTTGAAACATTTAGACGATTGTTTGACACATTACTTAGACGATTGGAAATTGTGGAAAATCAAAATACAGCAGAGTATGGCAAATGTGCTTCTTTGCTCAGTGATACACAATTCCATGTATCCTACTTTTTGTAGCTGCATTTCACGCCCATGCAGTCGTTTGAAAAAGGAACATTGGGGAACGGTTTTATTGTAATCGGAAACAATACAATTTTGGCTCCCATAGGACATCTATAGCCTGTCATTATAAAATATTTCTGGACCCTGAAGGGATATAACCTTGTAATATTTTTTTTACCAGCTGATAGAACTCAGCTCAGCTATTTACATGCATCAGAAATCATTGCAAAAACATGAAACTGGTTCGCATATAACTTTCCCAATATTTTGCTTGCTTGATTCACAATACAGTTTTTATCTTGAACAAATATTCTGGGAAAATATTGGAATAGATTACTAATTAGCCATTACATGTAATTCATTATTTTCTAAACTTCTTAACTAATTCATTCACATTTATTCTCAATGCAATCTTTTCTAGTTAGTATGAGTCACGTATAGGTTACTTTCACGAGCCCAGACACATCGCACGTTACAACTGAGCGCTTCGGGTGAATATCGATATTAAATACATAGGTATATAACGGTACATCTCATATACGCTACTTAGCTACCGGGCAATAACACTTATATACCACACTCTAGGATAATTCACCACATTTTATATATCAATGGTGTTGAACGGTAACATGGAATACCTATTAACATTTATTTGACAATTTGTAAGTATTGTTTTAAAAGCTGGGGAATTGTGCTGAGAGTTGCAGAAAATTAGCAGACGACAGAAAAGGAAAATGGCTGCAATTGATTTCATACCTGTACACAGGAGGTGAATAGAAAAAGTTGAACACGTGAACACGAACTGGAAGCAGACGAGAGTTGGATAATATTGATTATATATATAAAGTTATTGTGAAACGAAAATGTCGAGATCGTCGGATAAAGTAATGAAGTTGAATGTCGGTGGGGTGTTTTATACCACGTTGAAAGCCACCTTAGCCACATATCATGGAACCTATCTGTGGAGAATTGCTATGGGCAACCAATACTGTCCCAAAGATGATCGAGGGAACTATGTTATTGATAGAGATGGACATTGTTTCAGGTACGTAGATATAGAACACGTGAAACTTCATAACATAGTATTGAACTAGCATAGTTAAGTGTGTTTGGTTGATTGGGGGCTTTGGAATTCATTGCAGTTCATTGCTCTGAGCTCTCTTCTTTATTTGTGAATATTAGCCACAAATAGTTTGGGGCAAATACATAAGATACACATCTAATTTAATGTGCAACATGTGCCAATTTACTGGGTTCTGTATGGTTCAAGTCACAATTTGTGTTGTATATTGTAAAGCATTGTGCATGATGTTATAAGGTAACATTTCAGTGTACTCTAAAAGACATCATTAACTATAGGCCTAACTGAAGTATATTAAACACAAAATTTGGGAAATTCATTCAAAGATTTTGGCACTCACAAAGACAGAATATTTTGGTAATTTTTTGGCATGATCTTTTTCTGAGGGCATGCTCATTTCCAATAAGATTTCAAAAACACAAATATAAAATCATGAAATTGGAAAAAGGTTGTTTCATTCAACTTCAGTTGATTTCATCAATTTTGCAATTTTTTTGCAATTTTGATGAGATTTCTCTATTCAGGTAACATGCCAACTTTATTTAAAATTTATTTGGCCATCTGTCACCAAAAACATCACTTCAAAGTCAAGAGTATATTTTATATACAATATGTCATCATGATCATTTTCATTATTAACTGATGAAATAAAATTTATTATTTCCTGTTAAAATTCTTAGAAGTTTACTATATTCAACTTCTTGGAATTAGAAGGGGACTTTGTTGCTGTGCACTATTCTTTAAGTTCTTTTGTCACTCTTTTTCTTAAATCTGCCTAGTTTTTAACTGATTTGTTTCCAAAAATATATTGGAGGGAAAAAGAGTATGGAAGGGAGATTTTCATGGAATGTTTGATTTGAAAACAGATTGAGGAAATTATTTTGCTAAACAAAACACCAAAGATTTTAATGACCTTGTAAGATTTGACCTCTAGGATAGGATGACTTTAAATCTACACAGATGTTGGTTTTTTTCTTTGTTATGTTAGAAGCTAATAAATAAAGTCTGAGTCATATTTCAGAAATAACTAAGAAAATAGGTAAAATAGTAACATAAAGATGAATAATACTATTGTACGTGTGTGATATACTATATTTCACAGTGGGAAAACTAATGGCTATTGTTTACTCAATTACATTTCTCTGATAATAAAACTTTTGACGCTACCATTTCGACTTACCTTGATAATAAAACTTTTGACGCTACCATTTCGACTTACCTTGATAATAAAACTTTTAACGCTACCATTTCCACTTTCAGAAAATGAAAGTAGAACTTTGGTGACTCAACAAGTTAGAGGCTTGCTCACAGAACTAGAAGTCAGGGATCATGGACACAGTCTTGAGAGTAGCTCCTTTAACTCAGTTTGACCAAAATCATTGTTGCAGGTCAGTGGGTCTGATATGGAATATGGTCTTCTCCATCAGATGGGATATTGCAACAGGTCATGAAGATCCCATGGAGTAGACTAATGATGCTGTCATGGCATAATTTTATTCATTGCTCACTGCACCTGTTGCAAAAATGAACGTGGCAAACTATTTCCAAAATTCATAAATTTCAAAAATTATTTCATGGAGCTGTCGTATGATTCTGATAGCACCTTTTTTTCAGATGCTTTCAAAATACAAACATCAGACTTGGATTAAACAAGTAACAATTTCGTATACCACTTTTACAGATATGACTTATATGTAAAGATAGGACTTAAACAGGTTCACTACATCGGTTCACCTGTATCGATATCCCAAATATTGAATTGTTAACATGCTAATACCATAATGTTCATCTTTAATCAACACTCATCAGTAGGGAGCCTTAAGTGTCTGGATAATTGAGATAACATGTAAATAGTCCAGATTATCAGACAAAAATGATTAAAGAGATAAAGATCCTCAACACCTGGCAGATGCATTCTCTTACAACACTAGTTGTAGTGTAGCTTTTCTCCTTCTTTAGTTGAATAGCTGCATACATTAAATTGACAGATATAATAAATGCGTTTTCACAATATGAATTTCTAACATGAGTATTTCTGAAATGGGTTCTTCTCATAAGTCTATTGAAACCATGTGTTTTTCAAAAAGTTCAGGGTCAGAAGAGCTCAGATTTTCGTAATTAGTATGTATGTACAAGTCAATCTAGTGTATGTTATCAAAATGGGTAAAAAAAAATTTAGGGTGTCATTTTCTCAGATCACACATGTGACTTGACCGTCTGAAATTTAAAGCAAACTTACGGGAAGAAAACTCCATAAGAAAATCAGTGGTACTAGATCTGAAATTATTTAAACTGAAAACTATAAAACATTCAGCCATTTTTGACCTGAGAAGAAGTGAGCAAGGTGTGCAATGTGAGTAATAATGCATTACAAAACACAAGAAGTTTGGCTGCTTGTACTAAAAACACTATAGTAGCATGATATAGATGTTAGTAACATTAATTTGGAAAGTTGCCCCTGAACTTGATTAGTTGAATCATATTTGATATTTGAGATCAGTGATAAATTAAATAGATTTCTACACTTCTGTTGTAGTTCGGTTCTTCTTTCTGTAGCCAAATACCTGTACTTTTTACTGACAGATGGGTCAAGTTAAAATGTAGATAATTATTAATTATTAACAAAGACAGGTTGTACTCTATTTTCGTCTGTGTTTAGAGCTATTACTTTCACATTTTAATTCTATCTTATGTTATCAAAATACAAAACATGAAATAAGGCATGGCAAATTCAATAGAATTTCGAGAGGGCTGACAGAAAGGTCAAATATGGGTTACTTCAGAGCACCAGTTAGAGAGGCTAGGCAAAGATAGTCAAATTTAAGTTTGTGATGTTTTGTAATAATTAGATAACCAATTGCTCTGAAATAAGCATTCTGACCACTATACATCTAGCTCATTAAATATCCAATAAGTCAACCTAATATTTAGATGAACTATGATCATTATGAATTATAATATATAACACAGACCTGTATACTTGTTATTATAATACCTAACTTGTCAGAATACTCTCATTGTTTAGGAGTGATGAATTGATAGATGGTTAATGATTTTCACAGGTACTGAATCTGCTTTTATCACTTCTGTTACCAGTATTGTTCTGTAATATTGAAACTGGTAACTAAATTGATTGATGTAGTGATATCAAGAACAAGCTGTTCATCTGGAGCTGTAGGTGCTAAATGCACAGCTAGGATTCTGGTTTTGAGACAGACTTAACCAGACTTAAATGGTTGTTTCCCCATACCAGTATACTTCAATTTACTGGCTTAAATGACTGTGAAACGTTTTGTTTTTATCTCCCACGGTCCTTCATCTCAAAAATAGAGATCAGATAAGTAAGCCTTTCAGTGTAAAAATGAAACGGTTTATCAGCAGAACATTTTTAAATGACATAATTATCTTCAATAAATGTTGACATATCTTGAAAAGTAGAAATGGGAAAGAAGTATGCCCAGTTGATTTCTAAAATATTTTCTAAATGGGGAAGTGTTCAAATTCCTTGATCTGATTTGACTGCTCCTTTTAATTGCTGAATGACTGAATTATTTTACATCATCATGCATAGCACAAATATCTTACATTGCCAAATATTCTTGATTCATTGACCCATGTTTTAGAGATCAAGTTGACATTGAAGTAGGATTAAAATCACTTTCATAAGTCTTTGATCTTTTATTAAGATTTTCTCAGGCAGAAAGAATACTCACAGTATTGAAGCACAAGGGCTTAATGATTGTTTATTATTCATAACCTAAGATAATGTTGGGTTAAGGATTAGGATAAGTCAGGATTAGGATAAGTCAGGGTTATAATTTGAGTAAGTCCTAATTAACAAAAGGTTAAGTGACCAAATTCGATATTATGCAATTTTCTATCTTTGCCACAAAATTATACAATTGAGCATCTTGTATCTTCAAGGCATTATTCATACTGAAATGTCTCTGAAAAAAATTCTATATTTGTGGATACAATTTGAAAATAAAAATTCTGTTTGCTGATTGATTGCTAATATCTCATAAAATTAGTGTTGTTGACAATGGATACGTGTTTCCTTAATTGTAGATATTACATTGCAAATTTGAAATGTGTTTATTGGTGCAAGCATACCTTATTAGAATTCAAAATTCAAATCCTTGTTTTTTTCTGTTTTTCAAATTTCTAGATGATAAGGTTGTTATATAAAGTTTATGAGTTATTTAAAGCCAGAGGGCAGTATTTTCATATTTAACTTCATATACTCTTTGTTATGCATGATTAATCTTTACTTTTATAATTTGGGCAAAAAATAATCAGTGTAATGAGTACATAAATATACATTTCTCAATAATTTAGACCCTTGGGTAACATTTGTATCAAAAGAAGGCCTTACTGCTTTATTTGAATTAACAATCATATGGTAATAATGCAGCAACAATTATTTTCTCTTGCTGCTATCAAAAGGGCAACATGGTTAAGATGGTTCAAAATGAGATAAAATATTCCCATCAAAGTGCCTTTTAGAATGTCCACAAGCTCAAAATATTAGTACATTGGTGTCATGTTCATGTTGTTTTTGGAAGAAACAGGCATTTCTGCGTAGAAATTAAAGGGGATGTATGTATCGGATTCAAAATAATAAAAATTGTTAACATTTTCTGATAGATAAATAAAAGGAGTAATACTTCATAAGCTGATATTCTTTGAACAATGTTTACCATAATAAACTATGATAGATAGGTCTGTAGTTAATCCACTTGAATAGAACTCAAGTTAATCTATTGGTAAATTAATGATGAATTATATAGAATCCTAGTTTGTTTAACAGTGTTACAATAGTTCAGTGTAATAAATGATTTTTACTGATTGATTTATGTTAATCAATACTCATTGGCAAACAAAATGATTCTGTCCTACTGAATAATAAATTTTCAATTGTTACAGTTAATCTTTGGTACTAGCTTATACAGGTTGCTTTAATT